AGGGAGGGAGGGAGGTTGGTTGGTTGGTTGGTTGGTTGGTTGGTTGGTTGGTTGGTTGGTTTACTAGTGCATATCCCAAATGTCCAACCCCCTCCAAGTTTGTGCTACTCTTTACAGGCAAAGAAAATGAGAGGCAATGTGGCATAGTGGTTAAGGTGTTGGACTGGCAGCAGGGAGTCCAAGGTTCTAGTCTACCCTTGTCCACAGAAGCTTTGGGCTAGTCACTCTCTGCCAACTCAACAACCTACAGGGTTGTGCTGTGGTGGCAGGGGGAGAAATGATAGGTCCGAATGTTATATGCATCACCTTGAGTTCCTGAACAGAAGGCAAGACATAAACTTAACAAAAGGGCAGGGAGAATGAAGGCCAATTGTGGTTAAATGATAAGCTGTACATTTGTTCTTCTTGGTGACATTCTTCTGTCCAACTAGCTGTCTCCCTTTGGCCCCCAGGAATGTTGTTACGTGAGAAGACAGCGTCATTCTCTAGGGCTCTCCTTTATCCAGAGAAGCTCAGCAGATCTGGGCTCACAGCCCGGTCGCCAATCTTCACCTCAGCGCCACCTCTGATCATCAGAGGCATGTCAGCTCACCATTTTCCCCACCCAGAAGTCCAAGACAGCTTCTTTCCCATTGGGCATGGGGAAAAGGAAAGGGCAGCCACCTCCTAGGGCGTGAGAAAGCTCTTCTGAACATCCTCTGAAAATACGGCAAATATGGTGAAAAAGGAGGGTCTCCTTTGGGAACCATTCTCTCCACCATCACCCCCACGTATGAGGCCACACATCCGCACTAGCTCTGTCTTCAATTTCCAATTAAAAGCAAAAAAAATCAGCAAAGAAGTTTCTAATAGAAATGTAGATACAGAGATACAGAGATGTAGCGATAGGAGAAAGAACCCATTGGCCCATCTCACAGACTCTCTCTAGTTCTCTTTAACTGGAAATTAAACCTTGGACAGCTCACATCCAAAGTGTTCCACCTTCAAATGATGGGCTGATGCTAAAACAAGTAGTTGCAATGAGGTTTTTTGCCCAACATGCAATTTCTCAACAAACATTTATACATGATAGCAATTACACATATCAATTTCATTAGTTCAGTTTCAATTTCTGTCTTATGCTGTTCAATTCCAAATGTCCTATTATCTACCTTAAATCTTTCTCTTAGATATGCATATGAAAACCATTGAAAACTAAATCCCTCTGCAGCCAACTGCTCTCTTGATTTCATCTTATATTCTCCGTGCCCTTGTTCTAACAGCTCTCAATATGTTAACCATCTCTCTTTGACTGCTGTTTCTTTTCTATAAAACGTTTCCTATGCCTAACACAGAGTTTCTGAGGAGAACATTAAACTAATGAACTCTACCTACACTCCTTGGGGCCATTACAGGTGGCCTTCATGAAGAAGAGGACCATCTCAGGAACAGAAAGATCTAGTCCCACCATTTGTTTCAAGGAGCTGCTGTCTGGACGATTTCGCTTACCCTTAACTGCCAATGACTATTTTTAGGCACAAGGAAACCGTTTCTGCCAACAAAGCAATCCTGTATTGATAATGTTGTACAATTATTGTGGAGAATGGAAGTCCAAGACGAAGAAAAGAATCATCGCTTAGTCAGTTCTTAAAATCCATTGAGGTTTTCATTTGTAGGCAAGCTTCCAAATTTTTGCCAGCTTCCATGTGACTTGTAGCTTAACTCTCAAATAAGAGGAGATGGGGGTGGGTAATAATAATCCTGATTCAATGGAGAATTCTTTTTTTTTTTTTTGGACTGTACATACATATTACACTATTTATTCCCATGCCTGTCCCTTCCAGAGTCCCGCAAAGTGATCTTCTCATACCAAAGAAATCTGAAATCATGTTCACAAAATGCATGCATGTTACACACACTCATGAGACCACAATAATCAAGTGGCCTTTCCCAATCTTGGGCTTCTCAGAGGTTGGGGTACCAACTGGGAACTGAGGGTGTTTTTTTTAAATACATCCAGATGATGCAGCATTGGGAGAAGATACACCAAAAGTTCATCTGAGGGCACAGGAGAAATAAACTTAATTCAATCAGCAGAGAAGAGGTATTTATGCAAAGTAGATAAGCCATGAAGATGACCTTAGTGAACTATTTGAATGGAATATTGTAATAGTATGTGAAAGACCTTGGGAGATGGGACAAAGAGACGCTGCCAAGGGAACAGTCAGATAAGAGAGAGCACAGCCTGCAGCTATGTAGTGGGCGGGGCAAGAGGCTCGGGGAAACTGTACTTTCAGACTTGCAAGATTCTGTTTATGTAGTAGCCTTACAATAAAGTAGAATTAGTTCATCTGGTCATGTTTCCTGTCTGGTCTACCTAGTAAGGCTGACAAATATACAGTCACATCTAGAAGGCTGGTCTAAGCCATTAAAGGCTTTAAAAAAGAATATCCATGAGATGTTAAAGAAGAAAATGTGTCCTCATATAACTCTGGACAGTCTATATGCTTAGAGGGACGTGACTACTACAGAAACCAACCACAAGTAGTTAACCTTTATTATAATAGTTGGCATAGTTTCTGCCTGTAATGTTTTCTTCAGAACACTTTATGAGGTAGGTGGGGCTGAATGTACACTCCCATTTCCACAACTTCCACTCTGAATTCCTCAAAAGCAGGTTAAGCCAAATGTGTGATTGTTTTTACTTCCATTGATTCTGTTATTTAGTTGAACCTCTAGGGTTGAACCTCTAGAGTAGTAGAGGAAGAGGAGCCAGGAGGTGGGTGAAGCAAGAGTTTCACCCAATGGGGAACAGGCTAGCCACGAGCTCTTCAGAACCTGAAGCAAACCACTAGCTCTTTTGTGATGTCAGATATACCACAGTTGGCTTGGCATGCGGCTCCACGACACAGGTGATGTTATGAGCCTAGATGAATCCACAGCCAATTCTGTCCTGGTACAAAGACTTGCATGAAGTGCTCTGGGACACCCCAAGATCCTAATCTGGCACTCCAAACCAGTCTTCTCCAATGCAATTTACTTTGGATCTGTGAGTTCCAGAATTCTGAGAGTCGAAGTTGATACATCTGGAGAGCATCCCAGTTGTTTT